CGCGACTGGTATGGTACTCATACTTAGGAGTATATAATCCTCTGTACTTTGTCCTGTAACCGCAGTTTTTCGATAGCTTGCAACTGAGCTTCATCCCTTTGCTTTATCCTTGTTCTTTCTCCACACAAACAACCTTAGGGACTTGCCAGCAGATGGAACCCTTGACGGATTATCGCAATAACTCAGCCATAGGGGTTATGACAAGTTCGGCCTGTAGACTCCCACCTCACACACTTCATGCCTATTCCATTTGAAGAAGTCACCGCACTTGGGCATAACAGTCAGGGGCTAAGTCTGGAGGACTGGACTTAAGGCTGGAAGTGTGGGAATAAGACTGGTAGCATGGGAAACCAACTGGTCTTGGGGTGCACACAGGGGGAAGCTGGTCCAGGGTTGGATCTACCTCCCTTGGTCTCAGCTTATGTGCTGTACCCTTATGCAAGCTGGGGAGAGGTCTGGGACAGAGGCCAGGGATAGCTTAAGGCTTGGCCTTAGCTATAGAGTAGACTTGTGGTGTGGTACAGAATTGAGGGTAATACTAAATTGATATTCTGACTGGAGTGCTATGAAGTATGTACAGGGGTTAAATACATGAGGCCAGTCCAGAGTAACAAACATGAAGCCAGACTTGTTGGTAAGCTATTAGCAAGAGGATTAGCAAGGTGGGACAGCCACAGAGGCTGTGCTGAGACTAATAGTTGAAGTCCAGGTGACTGGCATAACCAGAGTCAGACACAGGTTTGTACAGTAAGCAAAAGTCAGACAAAAGGACTAGACTAAATATAGTACAAACAAAGGAAAACAGACTGGAGTTATGTCCAGGTGACCTGGACATGGACCTGGGAGGACCAGGGTGGAGCAGCACAAGGCCAGGAGGCCAGAATGGACCAGAGATAGGGGTAAAACACCAGACTTAAGTTATTTAGACTGGAGTTGGGTTTCCTAGGGCTGGAGTTGGGTTGTCTAGGCCAGACTAGGACCAGGCTTGACTGGAGTTAGGGGCTAGGGGTCTGGACTGGACTGGGATTGAGTCTGGGAGTCATGGATATGACACCTCCACATGTGACATCCTTTCTGTCACAACTGGCAAGGCAGCACTCACCCCCTGCCCCTCAACACCCTGTGAAGTCTCCTCCCCCATCTGTACATCTTTGTCAACCTTGAGCTGTGCTATCTCCTCTGCAACCCACCACTTGTATGCCTCATCTGCCTCTGCTACCACCAGCCCATCTGTCACATCTATCTTTGTGTTGATGTCGAGCTCTCTACCATGCTCAACAAGCGGGAGCACCTTTCCCTGGAAAATGATCAGTGCTGCAAGTCTCCATCAATCCAAGTGCTCACCAATCACTTCTCCCACCATCACAGCCACATTACTTTCTCCTCCCACAGGTCCTCCCTGTCATCCAGCACACACTTTGCCTCAGTGACCAATGCCACAGATGCTGTGACAAACTTCACCCTCAGGGTGGCCTTCTCCACTTTGACTGGGTTGGGGGTGGCTGCGCATATGAGTTGGGAAAGACAAGAGACACAGTTAGCAGATATGATGAGGGTGTTTGAGGTGATTGATGGGGGGGAAAGAATCAAATCAATGTGAAGGTTTGAGCCATGCACTAACAAATATATACTTAGTGGCCATGAGGTGCTTATGTCATCGGTCTGGATGCCTATATGCAGCATTCAACAGTCTCCTCACATTCCTCAGCTCCACACTTCCTTCACTTCTACATGGAATCCTCCAGTGTTCTTGAACCCTTGGCACCACCCCTTCATTATCACCATGCAGCAAAGCTATTTACATCCTCCACACCACATGGCTGACCAGGGACAGTCAGCATCTAAGTCCCCCACAGGTGTAAGGAATCTGCATTCTTTGGATGTGTAAACCTCTATCATCAACCACTCTGCAACTGTCATTACATTCCTGGACCTCTCACATTCACCACCACTCACATACTGCCTTCCTGCCTACCTTGCTACCTCCCCATGCCCTCATTCCCTCTCACACAATGTTATACCCACAGCCACTGTGCTCCAGTTGCTTCTTTTCCCTCAGACTCTTTCTTTTATCACAGTCTCTATTCCTTTAGCACTTGTAGTATACCCTTGGCCTCTGTTCCAGCCTGTCTTGTGTGTATGTGCTGTCACATGGCTTTCCTTTACTTGTATCCTGTCTTACTTAGGTTCCAGGTTTGCCTGGACTATAAAGCCCTGTACTTAGGTACAGAATGATACCTTTTGGCACTTGGAAGGTCACCACAAGTTTCTTTCCCACTTTGTCTACACCACACATTTTGCATACTGCCATGCACAAACTACACACACTGCTCACACTGCTTGCATTGCCAGTACTACTCCACAGACCATCCCATGCACATCACAAATCACTACTGCTATAAAGTGCTGGGTCTCACCTTCTAGTCTCAGCAGTCCAGAATCCCTTGGGATGAGCAATTCATTCCCTTCATTTTTATTGTTGTTATCTAAGCCATCTAGCTCATATTATACAGCTACTTGGACTTTTCCTACAGCATGTGCACAATCTCCCCCTAACAGAGATTCCATTCTCACTTATGTTGAAGAACTCCATAAGACAATAAATAAAGAAATTGAAAGAGGCCACTACATCAGCCCCCTCACACTAGATGCCATCACTGAACTAATAGGACCCTTTCAGTCATCCCCACTATCAATTATACCCAAACCAGACCACCCTGGAAAATACCGCCTCATACAAAACTTCTCATTCCCCCATTCCCCAAATGAACAAACCCCCAATCCTTCAATCAACTCCCACACTGATGCACATGACTTCCCAACAACATGGGGAACATTCACCATCATATACCTATTACTCACACACCTACCACCAGGATCTGAATTAGCAACTAGAGATGTTGCCAAAGCCTATTGTACAATCCCCTTGCACCCTTCACAATGGCCAGCAAATGTAATAAGGATATCAGATACCCATGGATGCATGGACACCTGTCTTGCCTTCAGAGCATCACCATCATCAGGTATATATGGTAACATGGCCAATGCCAGTACAGAAATCATGAGACATCACAGCATTGGACCCATGGACAAATGGGTGGATGATCATATCTTCATGTACATCAAGCATGAATACCTCACAGCCCACAACAAGCTAAGGAAAGTATGGCAATCCAAAATCACTTCACCAGAACCCCAGCAGTTAGGGGCTAGGATTTTATTCTTGGGTAGAACCCAAGACAACAATGTAACTGAAGAAATCAATGAAAACTGTTCACAGCCAATTCAAGATCTGTCAAGGAGATTGCCAAGATCCATTCACAATGTGTCCTTCTCATACAGCTTCAAAGACATAGATGCACTATCAAAATACCTTGGGATCCCTTGGGAGGAGTCAAAAGATCAACCCTTTAGCCACTCCACAACATACATAGGTTTTCTGTGGGATCTCAAAGACTACCACATCTCACTAAGCCCAACAAAAACAATGAAGTACCTGAAGGCAATCCATGCATGGTGCAAAAGGCCAACCCACATTCTACAGGATGTTAAAGAACTATATGGCAAATTACTTCATGCCTGTGCAGCCCTGCCATGTGGCAGAGCATACCTAATGGGCCTTGAGGCCATGCTAAAAACAAGCACTGAAAAGTCACTTATGTCCCATCAGGCAGACAAAAGAGTAGCCAATGACATTGATTGGTGGACAGACCAGCTACAATCTGGCAACATCCAACACTCCATCTCCCCACCCAATAAGCTTGTCAACACACTAGCCTTCTCCAATGCTAGCCCTAAAATTGGCATTGGAATCAAGATTGGTGAACACTGGTTTGCATGGAGACTCATCCCAGGCTGGGAAAGTAGTCGAGATGGAACCAGAGACATTGGATGGGCCAAAGCTGTCACCTTTGAATTTCTGGTCTATGCAATCAATCATGCCATTGCAGACAATAGCTCAATCATTGCATTTGGAGATAACACAGGAGTCATCAAAGGCTGGCAAAATGGTCACCATCACAATACCCAAGTCAATGAAGTTTTCAAATGAGTTCACTCATTTGTTGCCAGGTCCCCTTGCATTAATCAAATACACACAAAATACATTCCAAGCAGTGCCAACCCAGCAGACCCCTTATCAAGAGGAATCTACAGACATCCAAACCTTCTCCTCCCTCCAATCCCTATCCCCATACAAATCCAACCCTTTGTCATCAATGCAGCTGCCCCCCCCCCCCCCAATGCTACTGAACTATGGCTTAGGAGAGAAGGAGTATACCCATCCCCAGCAGCCAAAATCATTGACCACACTCAAATCACTCTCGAAATGAAGGAATGAAGGCAAGCCACAGCCACACACAAGCATAGTCTCATCCAACAATCCCTCATTGACAACTAAACCAGAAGTTTGGCAACATTTTGATGCTCCACTCAAGGCACCTAACCACTATCTATCATCCACAACCCCTCCCTGCCCCTACCACCCTGGCCTAACCCCATGCCCCTCACCCCTACACCCACACTGCCTAGCCAAAGAATGTCTACAGCTATGGCAACCATCTCCCACTCAATTGAGAGTCACACACATCCCAGAGGAAGAAGGTGCTCACACCATAACAGATCAACAAGTCAATTGCATCCTCAAAGTAATCAGAGCATCATGGGCAGAAAAAGCCAAAGAAACTTATGGTGCTGGATTACTCACCTACCGTGTATTTTGTGACACCCATGGAATATCAGAGACCCAGAGGGCCCCCATCACAGCCAACACCCTGCCCACTTTCCTCTCCAGCTGTGCAGGATCCTATTCAGGTTCAGCACTGTCAAATTTCACAGCTGGCCTGCAAGCCTGGCACCTCCTGCACAGGCTACCCTGGAACATTAACCCAGATGAGCTCCACACTATACTAGAAGGAGCCTCATGCTTAGCCCCTGCCTCATCCAGATGAGCCCTCTGCGAACCTTTCCATGTGAACACTCTAGAGCTGTTCCACTCCTTAATGGATCCAGAAAGCCCAAAAGATGCAGCAATATTCACTTGCCTAATGATTGTTTTCTACTGTGTAGCCCATTTAGGAGAATTCACTGTGCCAGCAATCACACAATTTGACCCACAGAATCACATTACCAGAGCTCATGTCCAGCACTTACACAACCTCAGTGGACTACCTGTAATGAAGTTCCACATTCCCTGGACAAAAATGTCACCAACTGGTGAAGACATGCAATGTGCTCCCCTTTAAGGAGCCATCTCAGACCCAATCAACACCCTCAAACACCATCTACACCTCAATCCAGCAGAGGGGTCTGCACATCTCTTCACCTGGAAACACCTCACATCTGGTCTCTGCCCTCTTTTGAAAATGGAGGTACTCAAGTGAATAAATACCTTGACAACAGTGCACAACCTCCCAAACATCAGGGGCCACAGCCTGAGGATAGGAGGAACCTTACTGTCATGACCATGACACTGACATAAGCCCCTAATACCTACTCTGCCCTCTTCTGACATGTTCCCATGCTTCTCCACCCTCTTCCAACACTTTCCTGTGCTCCTCTGGCTCTCCCAACACCTCTCCAAGGTCCCCTGTCCATGTTCTGACCAACTCTGCTCAACTCTGCCCTCAGGCTGGTCACATGGAGACCAGACCTTTGTCTGTGCCTCCTCTGAGGCCTTGTCAGCCCAGTGGGCTGTCAGACTTGCAGCCCTGCATTCCAGATAGGGTTCCACCCTTGTGTCAGTTTTTCTCCATTCTTCCACTCCTTTGGTGTTTACCCTCTCTTCCTCATTGTAGTAGTTTCCTTGTCTCAGTTCAGGTCCCTGTCATCCTTGCCCTCTGTCCCTTGTGTCAGAGGGACTGCTAACCTGTTATACACTTGTTGGTTTGCATTCCACACTGCACCACCCTTGACCTACATCATATATAAGGCCATGTAGTACTCTGATGTAATCAGTATGAATTTCAAATAAAGTCCCCACCTTTGACTCCCTCTCAGTTTTTGTGGGTAGGGTGAGAGCAGAAGGCTACTCAAGTTAGCCTAGACATAGAACTGTGTAGGTAGTGAGTAAAGAAAGGTGTACTTTAGTAGTGGAATAACACTGTACCTCAGACTTGAAATGATGAAGTCTGAGGTGTAAGGTAAGATGAAGTGTAAACTAAGTACCTAACATATTACATAATCAACTTGGTGTAGACTGGGCAGCATACTGTGCTCCAACATCAGTTCCCTCCAGAGTTTCATCTCCACTCCCTCTGAGTCCACTCCACCTCTGAAATATGAGGGCTGAGCTTGTGCAAGGGGGCAGTGCACTAGCTGAACCCAATGCCCTCTCATCCAACCTCTGACCTCTGACCTCTGTCTCCAAAACTTTCCTCCATACCCCTCCACTCACTGTTTGTTGAATATCTCACCACCCAGTGGTCAGATTTGCTTCAGACTTTGACTGCTGTACTCCACAGCCCAAACTGTTCCTACTCTGCCCTAAGAGGAAGTCAGGGGTGTTGTGCAACCTTGACACTTACACTACTTACTTCAAGGCACACCATTTGACATAGTCAAAACAATTGGCAGGTGGGCAGGGGACTCCTTCACCCTGTATCTATGCCAGCATGCAATGATACTAGCTCCATACCTCAATGACACCCCAGCTTTACTCAAACATTTCACAAGATACACAATGCCACCAGTCCACTAACATGAAACAGTAAGCACCCATCTCCTTTTCACAGGGCTAAGAGCTTTGCTGTAGGCATTGCTGGGCTCCTTCATCAAAGGTTCACAGCTCACTCTTTGCCCCAGATACATTTCCTCCTCTGGGCCAGAAAACCCTTTGGGTTTCCACCCAATTCACAGTTCCATCATTAAGCTCTTCATCCCAGTGTGAGTCAAAGTGTGGTTCAGTGGTGAAAACCAACCAAAACCAACACAAAAGACAAAAAGAGCGAGTGGTGGTGTGCCTATGCAGTACCTAGATGGTAGAACCTGTTCTTTGGGAGGGTTTTTGCAAGCTACAACACTCAAAGACAAGTGCTGAGAGTTGGTGGTGCTCCTGATGAAGAAGAAGCAGGAATGTGAGAGAATGCGATAGGGTAGACTGCTGTCAGCCTACAGAAGGATGGATGACAACTTAATTTGATGTCCTAAGCTGCACTGAGCTCAGGGAGGGCTTGGAATGAAGTATATTGATGATAGACAAGGATAAGTGAAGTAAACAATAGTTAGACCCTTAATAAAGTCTCAACTATCAAAGCTGCTGAATGAATTACTGAGTGATGATAAAATGCAAGCAAGAGGTGCTCTCTGATGTCTTCTTTTTTGCTATCTAAGTACAGTGATTTATATACAGTACAGGGGTGTTGCCCTTGGAAAACAAGGTGCAAACACTTGGTAAGTGATTGGTAACTGATGAGTAAGGAATGTAAGTGATGGGTAATCGTCTTGGAAAGCATTGGTAAGCATTGGTAAGGATAATCAGTAAGCAAAGTCAAAAGATTGGTAAGTATTGGCAACAGGTGAGTCAAAGACAGTCAGAACATCAAAGTATGAGTCAAGTAATGTCAGGAACTGGGAAAGCACACTGGAATCACATTAGGGGGAGGCTGTGCATGTCACATCTCAAGAGATCACTTCTAGGCCAAGGTGGGATGACAGAGAGGCAGTGCTGATCTGATGCCGACATAGTACATCCAAAAGCAGACAGGGTGAGTCAGATGTCAACAGGGGTCAAGCTTTGGGGGTCTGTGGGGTGACAGGAGCATAGGGGATTGCAACCTCCCCCCCCAAACCATCCTCTCAGTGAAGCAAATAAAAACTTCATGAATGAGGCTCTGTTGAAAGAGAGGATGAAGGGGGAGTGTCTTCTGCTGTATCTTGCAACAAGGAGGCAAGATGTGCATCATACTCATCATGGATGCAATCAGGGAGAGTGGAGAACAGTAGATTATACTGTAGCTGTCACAATCTTGGAAGAGTGATGGACAAGACTGGTATGAAGACATTGCAGGGAGCGGGGAGGAAGGATCCATACGCTTCTTGGACTGGAGAGACTGAAATGACCACATAAGACCTTTCCAAGTGAATGACAGACCTGAGGCAACCAAAGAATGTCCTCCTAGAGGTCATACTGACAAAAAGAACACACTGTCCAAGCTGGACAGGCTGAGAGGGCACAGACAAGGGTGGGATGTACCAGGATGCTTCAGGATGGAAGCTGGTAAGAACTCCTGGTAGATATATGTAGCCATGGTCCCTAGCAAAGGGGACAAGCAAAATGATTGATGTAGAGGCAGCCATATCAGAAGAATTTAGCAAAATGAGCATCTTTTGGAGGGAGTGCTGTAGAAACATGTGGAGTGTGCAAATCCTTTCCAATTTTGGAAGGTAAGATTGTGTGGCTGAGCACTACAAGTGAGTGTGGGAATGGTCTCGGTATCTGCAGAAATGACAGAGATATGTCGAAAACTGGTGTGAGTCAAAGTGAGGTTCAGTGGTGAAAACCAACCAAAACCAACACAAAAGACAATGAAAGCGAGTGGTGGTGTGCCTATGTGGTACCTAGATGGTAGAACCTGTTCTTTGGGAGGGTTTTTGTGAGCTACAACACTCAAAGATGAGTGCTGAGGGTTGGGGGTGCTCCTGACGAAGAGGGAGCAAGAATGTGATAGAAAGCGATAGGGTAGACTGCTGTCAGCCTACAGAAGGATGGATGGTGACTTAATTTGATGTCCTAAGCTGTACTGAGCTCAGGGAGGGCTTGGAGCGAAGTATATGGATGATAGATGATGATAAGCGAAGTAGATGATAGCTAGACCCTTAATAAAGTCTCAACTATCAAAGCTGATGAATGATTTACTGAGAGATGATAAATTGCAAGCAAGAGGGGCTCTCTGATGTCTTCTTTTTTTTGCTACCTAAGTACAGTGACTTATATACAGTACAGGGGTGTTGCCTATGGAAAACAAGGTGCAAACACTTGGTAAGCGATTGGTAACTGATGAGTAAGGAATGTAAGTGATGGGTAATCATCTTGGAAAGCATTGGTAAGCATTGGTAAGGATAAGTAAGCCAAAAAGCGAAGAATCAGTAAGCAAAGTCAAAGGATTGGTAAGTATTGGCAATAGGTGAGTCAAAGACAGTCAGAATGTCACAGTATGAGTCAAGTAATGTCAGGAACTGGGAAAGTGCACTGGAATCGCATTAGGGGGAGGCTGTGCATGTCACATCTTGAAGAGATCGCTTCCAGGCCAAAGTGGGATGACAGAGAGGCAGTGCTGATCTGATGCCGATATAGTACATCCAAAAGTGGACAGGGTGAGTCAGATGTCAACAGGGGTCAAGCTTTGGGGGTCTGTGGGGTGACAGGAGCATAGGGGATCACAACCTTCCCCCCCAAACCATCCTCTCAGTGAAGCAAATAAAAACTTCATGAATGAGGCTCTGTTGGAAGAGAGGATGAAGGGGGAGCATCTTCTGCTGTATCTTGCAACAAGGAGGCAAGATGTGCATCATACTCGTCATGGATGCGATCAGGGAGAGTGGAGAACAGTAGATTATACTGTAGCTGTCACAATTTTGGAAGAATGATGGACGAGACTGGTATGAAGACGTTGCAGGGGGCAGGGAGGAAGGATCCATATGCTTCTTGGACCAGAGAGACTGAAATGACCACATAAGACCTTTCCAAGCGAATGACAGACCTGAGGCAACCAAAGAACGTCCTCCTGGAGGTCATACTGACAAAAAGAACACGCTGTCCAAGCTGGATGGGCTGAGAGGGGGCAGATGAGGGTGGGATGTACCAGGACACTTCAGGACGGAAGCTGGTAGGAACTCCTGGTAGATATATGTAGCCATGGTCCCTAGCAAAGGGGACAAGCAAAATGACTGATGTGGAGGCAGCCATATCAGAAGAATTAGCGAAATGAGTGTCTTTTGGAGGGAGTGCTGTAGAAACGTGTGGAGTGCGCAGATCCTTTCCAATCTTGGAAGGTAGGATCACGTGGCTGAGCACTACAAGTGAGTGTGGGAATGGTTTCGGTGTCTGCAGAATTGGTGGAGATATGTCGAAAACCGGAATGCCGTACATGGGCGCTTAAGAATTTTATTGGTGCTTAACCTGCCTCCTCCTTTTTCTTTGGCATTGACAACCTGTTCTTGTGCGAGGGATGACTGTCGACATTGCTGGCTGTCCTTCTTCGCATGAGGGCTATGGTTTTCACCTCCATTCATCAGCTACATCCATGTCCACCTCACCAAACACCTTTGGTGTGTGACACCAGAATGCTGTACATGGGTGCTTAAGAATTTTAGCCAGTGCTTAACTCACTCCCTTTCTTTTTCTCTGGCACTGATGACTTGTTCTTGTGCAAGGGATGACTGCTGACATTTCTGGCTGTCCTTCTTCACATGAGGGCTATGGTCTTCATCTCCATTCATCAGCTGTATCCATGTCCACCTCACCAAACACCTTTGGTGTGTGACACTGGCATATAGATCTCACTTAGAACCTGCAACACTCTCCATTTCCTTCTCTCATTGTATGTAGTTTCCCTCTGAGAAACAAAGCATTCACAACACATGGAGTGATGCCCAGCAGGGCCTGTCCAAGTGCTCGACCCCCTTCCCTGCCCCCCTGCCTGAGGGAAGCATTTCCTTTTAAGGCAGTTCCCACAGCATTGCCACCTGCAAATTTTTCATGCAAAGTTCTGACTGAGTTCTGTCAAGTTTTCACACCCTATATATAACCCATTGCATGGGTGTTTTCTGTTCAGTCCCTGGCAACCCCTGCATTCTTCATGACATTGCTGCTTTGAAATGCATGCTAAGTACACACCTACCAATGCAAGTTTGACACTGAGTCAGGGAATCAGATTAGCCTGAGTCAAACATAATACTTATTGGCTTGGAGGCAACATATTGTGTGGAAAGTAACATCATGGCTAACACATGGCTGTGGGGTTCGATCTATATAAATCAACAAAACAAGTATCTGATACTATAAGCTACCAGATCCACATCCTGTAGGCTGTCCCACTCTAGTTCTAGTGATGGTCAGCTCGGTGGACTGTTGAGTTTTGCCACTTTTGTCAACTTGTTTTTAGGGTATAAGATGTAGTAGGAGAGGTAATTCCTTCTTCCTTCGATAGTGCCTCTTCTGACAGACTCCACAGTACACATGGAAGACGAAATGATTGTCATGTGGGTAGCACAAAATTCACACTTAGTAGAGGATGAGTGCAGAATTATGCTTCCAGGTTAATCAGAACCCCAAGCTCTGGGAAAATCTTGGTGAGATTTGATGTACTCCAGTGAAGTTGACTATTGCATAGTTCATACAAATGCTTGCAGGCAGTTAGTTACACCTGGCTGCAAATAACTGGATGAAGGTCACAGCCACCAAGGTTGATGTGCAGGGTAACAACATTATCCTTCTTGACACTCCGGGTCCCTCATGAATGGCCAAGGGGTGGTTGTGCATGACATCCTCAATCTAGTGAGGAAGTGGCTACAAAAATCGAGGTGAGGATGTCAACATAGATGGCGAATGAGCTGTGCAGCCTGATATTGAATGCTTCAGCAAGATTTGCAAGTCAAATGACTTCTACTCATCTGCAGTCCTCATTAACTCTGGCGAGCAGTTGGGTGAGGCCAGAGAAATTGGAACTAGGAGGGACACAGAAAATCAAAGGCCTAGAA